AGTCAAACAAATGAGTGAGGACTGAGGGGATCTTTTCGAAATTTCGTGTTTATGGTTTTGGAGATCAAAACGTTCACTTTCAAAAACGAGTTTTCACTCAAGGATGATACTCTTACTTCAAAACCTTGATAGTGTAGTGTTCAATCTTCATTAAAAGCAACTGTCCCGCTCATGCTGAGACCGTTCGCTCTTCTATGGAGAAGTTTTTTTAGAAATAGAATGATTGGTATAAAAGATATTTATCGGTTTTCAGCTCATTTAATATATCTTTCGCCGACACCCTCTTCTGTCGTAGATTCACTTCTTGTTGTACTGTTTTGAATCCCAGAAATATTTCCCTAATCATTTGGCCAAAATCGTTAAACATCATATGACATCAGTTTTTTCTATTTTCTACCAGTTTTAAAACTTACGTTGTTTCATTAAACACACAATGAATTTAGTTTTGAAGAACAATGTCTTTTTTTGTGTTTGCCAGATTTTAGTTTATCTCTAACAATTCCATCATGTTATTTATTTATTCAAATCACGCAACATAGACTAGAACATGAGACACGGCAGAAAAGTCGAAATCTTAACTAGTTACAATAAATACAAACAATAAATAGTATACAAAAGAGATCTACCCATATCGAAAGTGCTCATATTGAAATGTAAAGCTATATGGTACATCTGACGTCATTTTTCGACGATACCAGTAATGTTTTGGGAGTGTTGGCCCATTAGAAGTAAGATATATTTCGATACATTCTTTGTGGTGGGAGGGGCGGTTGGGATTCCTGCAAGGAAGATTTCTAGGACTGTAGATGTTTTCTAGGTAGAACAGCAAAAAAGTAGACTAACACCATTGCCATTTCGTGGTTTGAACCCATAGTGATCTGCTTCATTTGGAGGACTACTAAATAAAGCAAAAATCAATTGTTGATTTTGATTTCGAAAATTTGAAAGTTGAAATTACTTTCTTACGGCCAGAATAACGTCTCCAATTATCCGCTGTTGTGGCTTTTGCTCACGATAAACCTCAAATTGAATCAATAAAGGAAAGGACAATTAGCACAAAAGGCGTGGCCTATCCGTACATGGGTGATGGGCGTTTCGTATCCATCCGCAGTGGCATAGATTGAACCGTCAGCAGATGAGCTCATAGCATGATTTACATGCCCATTCTGTGTCGATATCGGCCGTGGTTTGCGCATTGCGTACGCATCGATTTCCTGAAGTATAAGGTCCGCCCATTTTGCAAAATGCTGCACAGTTCAAATAGCACAAATATACCTGTGTGCGTTGCCAACTGCTTTCTTTTTTGTCTTGCCTTTTTCTCCAAAAGCGGGCCAC